CAGATCCTAAGGCCTCTATTTAGCTTCTTAACACACAGGATAGGAGAGGCAAATAGGCTCTAACTAGTCTTAATAAAACCTTTCTATAGGTGCTCTTGTATATATTCCTTAGTAGCCTAGAGTTCCTTAGTATTTTAATAATAGAGGGGACTCTAGTAGTTTAGAAGGGGTTCCTCTAGGACTATCTTATAGTTATAAGGCTAGTAGATTAGAAGTTTATTAGCCTTAGCCTTATTAAAGACGTCCTAATAGGAGTTATAGTTAGATAGGAGCTTCTAATCTAGCAGGCTATTATTAAGAGTGTTCTATTTAGATAGGGTTTGGATCCTACGCTTAATCTTATATAGGCTAGTAGTAAAGAATTTATTAGAAGATTTTTTTATATTAAAATAGAAAGTATTAGTAGAAATAGTAGTAATTTAGAATTTTGCAGGTAGGGTAATAGCTAGTAATTAGACTAGGGTAGGTGGCGTAATTAGTTTAGTAGTAGCCCTATAAGTAGCTTGAATTTTAAGTATACCACATGTATCATAGTCATAATTAAACTATGGACTATTTTAGTTCTAGTTTTCCTCTTAATCCTAAAGGGCGTCTCTTTATAAGATATCGTGGGTAACTAGAGTAGATAGCACTTGCTAGTAGAGTTATACTAGAATAGGAGGTGCGGGGTTGTAGGTTAGAGGATATTTCTCTAGCTAGATTAGTTAAGATTTATCTGTATTAATTAGGATTTAGAACTATTTTAGCTAGTGTTGTCTAATAATATAATCCTAAGAACCTAAGGCTACTATTATAAAGGGGCAGTTATAAACCTTTTAGCTACTAACTATTATATAAAGCTAAATATAGTAGGTAACTAGGGAGGTAATCTAATCCTAGAACCCTTTAATAGTAAGCTTGTATAGTAGCTTTTAGATAGGTACCCTAAGCGTAGAAGAGATATTATAAGCAATTTTTAAATTAAGAAATAAGTAACCTTAGGCCCTAGTATCTACTAAAGCGTTTAGGTAAACACTAGATCTATTAAGGTATAGGGTTATACGTGTAAGTAAATAGGAACTAAAAAATAATTTAGTTAAGGAAAGGTTTAATAGGTTATATTAAGTTAGGCCTAGGAAGGAGAATCCTCCTAGGCGTTGTTATTTCCTGTCTAATAGCTATCTAAATTAGTTAATTTAGCAGTATCTTCTTCCTTAGAATTCTTAATAACCTATTCTATATCTATAGCCTAAATCCTAGGGGGTTTAGGGTAGTTACTAAAGGATTGCCTAGGCTTCCTATAATTATAGCAAGTTCCTAGGGTTCCTATTGTAGTAGCGCTAGGAGTGGCTAGCATAGTAGATAGGGGTTAATTATTTTAAGGGGTAGTGCCTTATTATTATAAGTAGGGCATATAAGGTTTAGCTATTAAAGGTCTATTATAGGGTTTCTAATTAGCGTCTAAATAGGACTAGTTTCTAGAGTATTAGAAAGGGGTTAGTCCTTTTCTAGATAATAGAGTAGTCTATATAGGAGTAGATAAGGTAGGGTATAAGTAGTATTCTATATTAAAAGTAGTAAGATAATCTACTATAGTTTTAAAATTATTATACTAATTTTGTTAAAAGGTAAGGTTTAGTATCCTTAGGCAAGGTATAATCTTTATCTAAAGGTAGTAATACTACTCTAATTAGGGTACTTCTCCTCTAATAGTAAGACTCTAGAATTATAATTTAAAAGCAGGGAACGTCTCTATATTTATTATATATAGGTGGTTAAATATAGTCTAACTTTTAGCTATCTTATTTCTAGTAATAAAGTAAGTTTAAAGGAGGGTAATTATTTCCTTACCTTTTTAGAACTAAAGACTTAGGGAATTAGATAGGTAACGTAGCTCTAAGTATTCTCTTGCTAGTCCTAAGTAGTCTCCCTAGACTAACGCTATCTATGCTCTAGAAGAGGGGTAGTAATTAGTATTAATCTCTAGCCTATCTTAAATAGATGCTTGCTATTATCTAAAAGTAGAATTAGTACTATTACTAAGTATAGAGATATTTAGCGTCTTTTTAGATTACCTCTTAGCTTTTATAGTATATACTATAGGGTTTAATATAGAAGCTAAAGACTAGCTAGGTTAGGTAGTACTATATATCTCCTTATAGAGGGAGGTGTTATATAACTAATTAGTAAGTTACTTTACTTATTCCTCTAACCTCTCCTTTTTAAATAAGGTTAATATATATTTATCTTTAAGGGAGGTGTTACTTTAAGATTTCCTAGGAGCATAAGGTACTTTAAAAGATAGGTAGGAAGGAGGTCCTTCTAGGAGGGCGTTGTTAATTAAGTCTTCCTTATCTAATTTCTTTCTATTAGTAAATAGGCTTTTAAAGGTAGCTAAACTAGATACCCCTCCTTTGCCTTTATCTAATATTTTTATAGTTAATAAGAATAATAATTTTTTTTAGGGGGGTTAGTTATAAAAGGATATTAGCTTTGCCTCTAATTCCTCTAGGCTTTTAGTAGTCTCTAAGTCTCTACCTTAATATAATCTAACGTGATTTTTCTAAAGGTAATCTAGCACTACCTAGTAGTCTAGAAGTCTAAGCCTATAGGCTTTAGTTATTAGAAGTTCTAATAGCTATTCTAACTATAGAGTTATTAGGTTAGACTACTACTAGAACTAAATTAGTAGCTTAAAATAATAATAAATATAATATTCTTAAATACTATTACTAGCTAGGATAATATTCTTCTTATAATAAAATAACATAGGTAGGTAAGGCATCTAAAAGGTATCCTATATAACTTAAAGGCATATAGGAGTGCGCGTCTATATAGAAAAGGATAAGATTCCTACACCCATAGGTCTAGTATAAAAGGACAAGAAGAACATACCTATCCTAATATAGGTAAGTAATTCTACCTTATTATTATACGTACTACTACTCTACTAAATAGTTAAATACTTAATACTATATAAGAAAGCAAGCTTATAAAGTATATTAAAGAGCTTTATAAGCAAGGATTACCCCCTATATAGACTATTATTTAAAATTTTATAACTAAAATATTAGGGAATCCTATAGGTAAAAATTAGGTGTAGCGCTATATTAACTACTATAATATTAATCTTATCTCCTATTAGGCTACTAGGCTTAATTATAACTACTTTAAAGCTAATTCTATCTTTAAGTATAGCTTATACTTTAAGCTTTTATACTAAAAAATAGAGTAATATAATATTAATAGTTAGTATATCTATAATATAGATAAGAAGGGTTTCCTTATTAGAGTACTCTTAAAAACTAAATATATGTTTAATAAGAGCGCCTATAAGTATAGAAAGATTAGAGCTATACTCTAGGATAGTAATAAGGAGTAGATTACTACTATAGCTTGCATATGCGCTAATAGTACTACTCTTACCTCTACCCTTATTTATTAGTCCTAATCTAGAGCTCTATAGGATACCTAGTTATAAGATTTTAACCTATTATAATACTAAGCTTTCTTTATATAATTACTAAGTAGGTAGATAAGCTACACCCTAGGGGTATCCTAGCTTAAGGAGGTGTTTAATTACAAGATAAAAGCTAAAGCTTATACTTTATACTAGCTCCTTATCCTTAATAGCTATAGATCTTATATAATAATAGAGTTTATTAAGTACTATAATAAATATAAGATCCTGCTTATAATATATCCCCCTTATAGCACTTATACCCTTTAGCTACTTAATATTATAGTATTTGCTCCCTTTATAGCTTTATATAAAGCTTAACTATCTAGTTTTCTAGATAGCTCCCAAGGGCTTATAAGCATTACTAAGAGGGATTTCTACTAGTTATTTAATACTATATAGAGTAATACCTTTAAGGAAAAGCTAATATTAATAGCTTTTAAAGTAATAGGTATCTTACTACTTAACCCTAATATTATCCTTTTAAGGTTTAAAGTACCTATAAATAATAGTAACTAGTTTTCTTTAAGGGATAGTATAACCTTAATATTAAGTATAAGTAATTAGAGAAAGATAGAGTAGTTACTATATAATACTATAATAAATATCTATAATAAATAGTTAAAGAAGCTTAGCTAGATAATCTATAATATATTAGTAAGAAATACTTTACTTAACTATAAAAAGAAACACCTAAGGGCTACCTTAGCTAATAAGAAGAAGCGTAGGAAGTATAGTAAACCTTTATTATTACCCCCTAATAATAATTATAGTAGTAGTACCTAATTTATTTTATTATTAAAGGTAGAGTAAGTATTTAAGCTCTAGGAGTAAAAGAACCTTAAAGAATAGGAGCTATAATACTAAAAAAGTAAGGTAATTAAGCTTTATAAGTAATAGAAGCTTACTAAAGCTTAACTTATAGAGGAGTGTTACCTAAATTAAGTAATTACTAAGAAGGAGTAGGAGAAGAAAGCTACCTAAATAGCTACTATATATAATAAGTAGAAAATTACTAAGTAACTAGAAAAGTAACTCTAAAATAATATTAGAATATCCTAAATAGGTAAGAGGTAAATCCTTAAGCCTCCTACTAATATACTAGCTAAGGTAGTTAATAAGAAGCTAGTAGAAGAGGATATAGTAGTAGAGGCAATATTATAGTATAGGCGCCTAATTAGACCCCCTAAAAAGCTGCTTATATAATCTAAAATATTTAATCTACTCTAATAGATCTAATAATTATAACTCTAAAAAATCTTATAATAATAGCTATTATAGGTGGCGCAATATCCTTATTTAGTGGGTGGTGGATTTTAGTGTTAGTGGGCGCTTAGTGGGGGTGGGCGCTCGGTGGTGGATCACGTTAGCTAAGGTCTCGCAGTGGCAAATCATGTGACGCTGAAACTGCCCAAGCGCCTGAGTTACCCAATGCTACCGCATCATGGTGTGGTACGGTATTAAGGGCCAAATCTAGACAAACGCTTGTTCTTAAATATACATTTGCATCCAACCATCTCTAGTTTCTACTCTTAGATGCTATCTGTCCTAGCCATTTGTGATGTCCTCCATTCACGATGCGGGAGAGCGCGCTCCTCTTCTTCGCGTCACATCAACGCCAAGTCTACCGGTTCCCGAGATAGATGGACACGATGATGAAGCACACGTCTCAACATTGCAGGGAGCCTTCATTACGGCGTTTGTAGGGCTTCTTATCTTTCTGCAGGGTATGTGAGATCCTCTATTCCGTTCCTTGAGATCTATTTCCAGTAGTTATCCGTCCCGCACTCTTTCGTACATGTGCGATGGGAGGCATAAGAATAGCTTCCCCAGACCTTAATTTTAGCATTCCTATCTATCATGGAATAGATATAGAGACAGCCACATGTTTTAAATCTATCTTGCATGGTGTGTCCTTGCTCATAACATTCTAACACCCTAACAGCAACCAACATATCCATCCTCACCACTACCCAATCGTCCATCGCCGCTGATCTAGATGCCTTTGAGAAAGCGAGTTGGTTCACGAGCGCATATCTCATAGCCATGTCATCACTTGCCCCCCTCATGGGCCGTCTTTGTCAAGTCTTTAGTCCACGCCTCTGCATGTTCTTCTCCACCCTGTTCATTAGCATTGGGTCAATAATTACATCGACTTCGATGACGTTTGAGCACTTCATCGTTGGCCGCGTAGTCACCGGCGCGGGTGGCGGAGGCATTTTCATCGTGGCAAGTATCATGGCGATTCAAATGACAAGTGCGAAGAGGAGGGGCCTGTTTATGGGCCTTGCCAATGCTGCAATGACGATCGGTGTCTCTCTAGGTGCTGTCATTGCAGGTGCTCTTGAGCCCAGGATTGGGTGGGTATGTGCCTGCCTATACTTGCTCTCGATGCCAGTTATGATGACATCAGCTTACACTGCCTAGAAACCTCTTTTTGGGATACAAGCACCTGTCAGCTTGTTCGCTGGTATCGGGCTCTTGATATCCATTCCTGCAAGTCATACCTCGAAGAACAAGGACTATGACAGCCTAGCTCTTGGAGAGAAGCTTGCAGGCATCGACTATGCTGGAGCTCTACTCTTGACCACCACCATCGTGTTGTTCCTTCTCAGCCTCTCTGGCGCTCAGGTCCTCCCTACACCACTGCTTCTATCCGCCTTTATGTTGCCCATTTTCCTTCTCAACGAGATCTATGTTGCCAGAGACCCGGTCATTCCTGTGTCGGTCCTTCGGTCTCGGGGAACCTTGCTTACCTGCCTAGCCACCTCTGGTTTCATGATGGCACGCTGGGCCATTTTGTTCTACACGCCTGTCTACGCTCTTGCTGTTCGAGGTTGGGCACCTGCGGTTGCTGGCTCGATCTTGATTCCTACAAATGCCGGCTTTGCCGCCGGAGGTATACTTGCTGGTGTCTTCCACATCAAGCGAACAGGCAGCTTCTATTTGCATACAATTGTTGCCATGGCCATATTTCCATTTACCATGGCCGCCTTGTCTTTCATTTCCACGCCGTGGAGCCCTTGGTGGTTGTATGTCGCCATGGTCTTCCTTAATGGACTCGTCACCGGCGCCACGACGAACTATGCCCTGGTGCACCTGCTGCATCTCACACTTCCCGAAGTCCATCCTGTTGTGATATCCCTTCTCACAACATTCCGTGGCTTTGCAGGTCCATTTGGCTCCGCAATCGGAGGTGGCTTTTTCGTACGCGTGTTGCGTAAGTCGTTAACGAACGGTTTCGCACGGGAGGGGCTTCGGCATCGCGAGGATCTAATGAGAAGATTGCTTGGGAGCCCAGCACTTGTGAATCAATTGGAGGGTGTTGAGAAGATCATTGCAGTCGAGGGGTACCAGGATGCGCTCAAGGCGCTATTTCTAGGTGCGGTTGGATTGTCCATCATTGTGACGTTTCTGCAGTCGGGGACAGGCTGGAAGGAGGCGACGAAGGAGCAGCCTGGATCACAGCAGGATGTCAATAGCGAAGAAACTCCGGTGAGCGTGAGCGGTGCTTAAAGGGTGATTATCCAACTGTGGGAGTTTTCTTTCTGTATGTATCATCATTGGATGCTGACCAGAAGAGAGCGTTAGCATGGTTCCAGACACTCGTCCTCCATGATGATCAAGACTCATGATCAAAAGATGACAGAGCATTCATGTTCGATGCACACTTCCTACTCAAGCTTGATGTGGCTTGCATACTTGCCGGCTATTCTCACGGAACAGCATGTGTGCTCTCTGCTGCAGTTTGCCCAAAGCCCACCGTCCTTGTCTTTTTCCCCAAGTACCGCCACTTCTTCTGCAGCCACCCGTCTATACCGTCTATACCACGTCACCGCTCCTTCCTTAGTCTCCCATCTTGTGTCCAAACCGTGCTAGCGGCTTTGGTTTGTTTGTTTGTCTGTTTACGTCGTCGCTGTACTTTCCGAATGGTCGGGATCGCGACTGCTCATAAACAATTTCCCCTGCCCCTCCCCTCCTATCCCCTCTCCCATCCACTCTCCCATCCACTCTCCCATCCACTCTCCCCACAAGACTGGCAGCAGCTGTTCACTTCTCGCAAACTAAGGCGGGATTGAAAGTCGGCTAGTTCCAACCAGACAGCTTGTAGTCTTTTCAACCTTGAAACACCAGGTAGCAGTCTCAGTCTCAGTCACAGTCAACTCCTCTAGGAAGTAAGTACATTCATTCCGCTCCTGCCCTGCTCTGCCCTGTTGTGAGCTCGTTCGTGCCTTCTCTCTTCGGCCACAGTGCAAAACCTTCGCCTGCCACTCGAACTCATCATCAGCGCCGGTGAAGGGACGCCAGAGTATCAGAATGTTGTCAGGCTGGTCTGATGCTCCACCTCACCTCACCTCAAGATTCATTGGTGCATTCATTAGCTGACTTCATCATCTAAGATTGCGCGAGAAGGCCAGTCGAGACAACGACCTTCAATATGGCTCGTGGTATAGCCGCCCAGCTGTCCGGCATGGCCTCCAACCCCTATCCACGCCCCAAGATGCAGCAAGGCGTCAATACCATCTGCGTCGTCTGTGACCGCTCCATCCGCACTCTTGACTGGGTTGCACACAAGAATTCCAAAAAACATCGCCAGGCTGAAGCCAAAGAGCGTGCTGAGGCTGAGGGTGCCAATGGTGCTAACAACGTCAACGGCTTCAGCGGTGACTCCAATGGCTTTACTCCCGACACCAATGGCGCCAATGAGCCTCCTGCCACTACCAGCGGGGATGGCTGGACTGTCAGTACTGGCGGTGAGACTAGGGCTTTCGGTGGCAAGAACGCTGGCGGTTTTGCAGGTATGGTTTGTTACGGCTGTGGTGACACTGGTCATGCCAAGCGCGAGTGTCCCAAGAAATCTGGTGTTGAGACCTGCCACAATTGTGGAGGGACTGGGTAAGTGGAAAGGTGTCTTCACATATCGGACTTCACTAACCGTTATTTCTAGACACCGCAAGATCGATTGTGACCAGCCGCGCAAGCCAATGGCTGGCGGACATGGAGGTCGTACCTGCCATAACTGCGGCAGTGAGGACCACATGCTTCGCGAATGCCCTGAGCCTCGCGTCATGCGCTGCCAGAACTGTGCGGAAGAGGGTCATGTCGCTCGTGACTGCTCCTTGCCTAGGGACTGGAGCAAGTTCAAGTGCAGGAACTGCGAAGAGTATGGTCATAGTCAGGCTCATTGCACCCTTCCCAAGGTTGAGAATACCAGAGGTGACTGGGGTGCCACTGTTGAGTCTGGCGCCACTGCTGGCGGCTGGGCTGATACTGCTCAGGACTCTACTCCCGGAGGCTGGAGTGATGCTACTCAGGACTCTACTCCCATCGCTTGGTGATGCTACTTTGGAGTCTACCGATAGTTGCAGTGGCGACAACAAGTCTTTGAAACTCTGGTAAGGGGGCTCTTTGTGTTGCCCAAGGCTTGCTGGGTCGAAGACATACGGAACGCGCAGCTTACGCGAGCCTTCGGCAAGAGCATCATGAAACACAGAAGGTTGGTGAGGGTTGATGGTATAGCCCGAGTTTTGTGATGGTCTCTTGTCCCGATGCAGACTTTACGGACCTTCTGATGGAAGGATGTCAGAGCAGATAGCTTCGTTTAGTCGATCGGAAGCGCACGATCACGTACTTTCAGGTACTCTTGAGATGAAGCATAGCTTAGCAACTATGTCAAATTCCTAACCTTTAACTTGGTCAATGATCTTTTGCAAATATGAATGAAAAGTGTTGACGAACTATACAGATATCTTTTTTGCTTTGTCTGCATGCTCTATTAACGACATGTACAAAAGATACAAACCACATGATCAACATACTGGACACTTATAGGACGTTAAATAACTTCAATCAATCAATCAATCAATCAACATACTGGACACATCCAAACATCTATGCACCTATTCAGTATTTCTCTCCCATAAAATCCTTCATCTCACTGACATTTTTTGAAGTTTCCACTTAAAATTTAAGATTAAGACAAGTTGTATTTATTTTCTTACTGACTTACTAATTTATATAACTTGGGTTTGAGTTAGCATATATAGTCTAGCACAGCAAGCATAGCATAGCAAGTGTAGCAAGCACAGCAAGCACAGCATTAGAATTATGCCATAATGGTAACACAACTGGTATTCTTCTCCACACACTCATACACACTCATCATGACTTTACAGGAGGGGTCCTTCATGTACATCCACATCCACATCATCATCATCAACATTATCACCATCATCAAACACAGCTCTAGAACTTGTACACCTGGTCTTTGCTGTACCCCAGCTCCTTGAGGTAACCCTCGAGTTCGCCCTGGTCCTGCGGACTCTTCTTGCCCCCACTTATGGCCTTGTACATGCCCGGGGGCCCACAGACAAAAATCTTGATCTTGTCGCCCTCCTTGGGTTCCGGGAGAACCGTCTTGAGGAGCTCCTTGGTGACGTGGCCTTTGCCGCCTTGCCAGACCTCGGGGGGGTGGTCGAGGACGTAGAAGGCGCGGAAGCGTCGGGGGTAGGTGTTTTCGAGCTCTTCCCACTCCTTCTTGAGGAGTATATCTTGCTCAGTGAGGTTGCCGTAGATGAGCGTGACTTTGGTCTTGTCCTCGGGATTCTTGAAGATGGCGCGGGCGGTTTGCCACATGGGCGTGATGCCAGTGCCGCCGGCGATGAGGGCGATGTGCTCGTGTTTGTTGGGAGACCATTGGTATTTGGGGATCGGGCCCTTGAAGTCTAGTCTCTGGCCAGGTTCCATGTTGTGCATATGAGTGGACATGGGGCCATTGGGGTACTGCTTGACGATGAAGTCGACTGTGCCCTTCTGGTCGACATCGCTGATGGGTGTGTAGGGGCGAATGACAGGCTTCTCCATCGCAGGGCCCTTGTACTTAGTGATGACGGCGGCTGAACCATGTTAGGAGCTATGTTGGATGATGCGCTTGCGGATCACTACTCACAGGCAACGGGCAAGCCGCTCTCCATGTCCTCCTCAGGCAGCTTGAAGGTGAGCTTCTTGGTGTTGTGGTTCACAACCTCAGACTTCTCCAGCATAAGCGACAGGAAGCCCTGCTCACCGCCATTAAAGGCTTGCTTTGCAGGTCCCGTGCTGACGGCGGGGATCTTCTTTGCCTCCTCCGAGGGCGGGGCGTTGCCCTGCTGTCCGGATGGCGAGTCTCCTTGTCTCATATACAAGTAGGCGCCTGCAAGACCGGCGGCGCCAATTCCCATATAGAGGATACTGTTGTTACCGCCGCTTTGGGGCGATTCCGATGCATACCGACGGACCTGCTTTGGACTTGTCAGCTGTTGGTGAAGCCGGACGGATTGGTAATCGTCTTCCGATTGCTGCTGGAGGAGCGCATACATGCTGCAGTGTCCTGGCCGGCCGGAAAACCTGTCTGGCAAACATGATGGAAATGAATTGGTTCGCGGAGTGGGTAAACTTTGTTGTCGATGATTTGCGCGGAAGACGACGGCGCAATCGCTGTTCGAGATGTGAAGATCATAAAGGTCGCGCCAAGAGAAACGTCATGGGTACCGGTATTGGAGGCTGGGCCCTGTCAGGCCCGATTCAGTAGAGACAACTTCTTCCACACACACACACACACACACACACACACACACTACCACTTGCATATCCTCTTTCCCCTTTGCCTTCTTTAAGAGTAGAGTAAATGTATAATGGTTCTTTAGATTAGTTAGTTACATGTAGAAACATCTCGCCATATCAATGCCCTATCAGACAAGAAATTCGCCATTCCCGAGGCCCGATGGTGTCAGTTTTACGCATCTTTTAATGGAAAAATACGACAACCTCCTAGCTTCTGCTAAAGAAGAGAAGTGACGGTATCTTTTATCTTAAGAAAAAGTTAACAATGTTTATGCGAGACACTCTTTGCTTCTATATAACAGGTGAGTACTTTCATATTCGTGTCTTGGATCCAGCTCCTGTGTGGGGACGAGATCTTAGTAGGATTCAATATTATAATCCTCTGCGATGGCTATAGGATAAATTCTCCAACAGAATAAATAGTATCCGCCAGATATGGTGGACGTCATGGTGGCTTCTACCTTCACATGATCCCTCTGGAGGATTTGATAGTTGATATGCCACCTAATCCAGACTACTCTCAGTCTGCTGTCTGCCTAATCGATGGCACTGATTGTGTCACCTGCCTGTAGAATCAAGCATAGAGTATTTTCCGCACACTGTACTTAGCCATCGGTTAGCAATTGCAAACGCAGCGCCGAGATGAGATTCAGTCTAGTAACCAAGTTGCTGGAGTAATGTCCATGTGAAAGCTCCAAAAAAGCCCCAAGCTCGGAGCATCAGAGGCTCTCCCACTCTCATTTTCTATGATCTTCAGACCGTTTCAACAGTTGCATTATTTCCTTCCTCTACTTACGAGTGCCTTCTGGTTGCCGGCGATCTCATTCCACTTTCCGCACATTCACCACCACGAGCCTCGCCATACTTGCATAGTTACTAGAATTACCAGCTCACAAGTTTACTGTGCAAACTCAGATATACACTCATATCAAAGAGCCAATATGGCGGGTGTACCACGGCTTTCAGTGTGGCTCTCAGCGACTGAAGGACCCAGCTGTGATCATGACTACGTTCCCATGTTTGTTACCGCCTACAGAGTTACCGAAGCCTTGAAATGTGCGCCTTGGATGATTAATCATTGTATCCGCGACATACATTCTGTGCAAGCAGGACTTCAAGGCCGTGGTTGTATCTTCAGTTCCAAATATCACGGTCAACACGACCGCCTTGACGATAGTCCTCAGCACCGGGGCTGGACAAACAAGTGGAGGTTGCACAAGATATATTGCTGCAATTTCATTCGGGCCCTGGAGCAGATGACATACGAGAATACTGGCAGAAGCTCGAAATTGTGGGATGCACGAGGCGCTGAGGCTTTGGAACGAGGCGAGGGAAGAGTGCTCTCGAATGCCCGGTTACCAATGCCTCGATGAAGACTCGGAACAGGGTGTGCTGAAAGAAAGACCGAAGACCGCAAGTTCTGAAGTGAAGACAATATTCAACCTGGCGAATTCTCACCGACCGCCTTACGACAACATTCCCACTGGCTTCGATCGAATGGCATTATACAGGAACAGAATATAAAGTGTAGGTATGGATACAGATGATTTTTGTTTCTCCAAAATACATACACTGGTCAACTATGACTCTAATGCATCAACTGTTGATTTAGATACCACTACGGTAAAAAATTGTTTACTGTAGAATGGTACGCTAGGGGTTTACTATATAGGTGTAAACTAACCTCGTGTATACCTATAAATAGGTTTAAAGTGGTGGTTTACTTTTATTAAAGTAGTAGTTTACTTTTATAGTAGGGGTTTAAATTAAGTATAAAAAGTAGTTTTATTTCTATTATATGCTATAATACCTAACTAAGACTAAAAGGGGTAGAAAAGATTGGCTTCACGCTATACGCACATATGACATAATAATGAGTCATGATATTTTTACTAATACCTAGGAGGT